TAGATCACCAATAATAAATTTTTTTTTTCTTTAATGCCTATTTTGATAACATTTTGCTCAAAAAACGTGCTCAGATTCTCACTCAGACCGTCAGGTGGTCGATAACAGCAGCTTAGTAATACAGTTTTAGATTCATTGTTTAAGATTTCAATAGTTAAAATTTCTTTATCGCCGTCAGAAACACTTAAATCATTCCTAAAGTAATGCGCAATGGTTTCTTTCACATAAATAAGAACTCCGCCACCGCGTTTATTTGTATGTCTCTCTTGGGATATTAACTCAAAACGGGGAAGATAAAAGTTTGCGTTATACTTAAACGGGGAAGATAAAAGTTTGCGTTATACTTAAATCGTTTGCGTTTATGCAAGTTTCAGTTAAACAAATGATATTAAAAACATTTTTAGTTTCTTCTAATGAGTAAAGGAGCTTTTCAAAATTGTGACTTATGTTTCTAATATTTACGTGAAGGATGTTAATTTGTTCGCTGTTATTGAAATTAAAAAGAGATCCTTTTATTTCACTAGGATAATAGTAAAAGCAATCATTATTTAAATCATGAGAATAATTAGGGTCTTTTTCTACATTTATATCTATTAAAGTTTTTATTTTTGAAAAGTTAAAAGCTTGATGCTTAAAATTGCTAATTTCAGCCATACCAGTGAGAGTTAGAATCTCCTTTCATTTCCGCGACTACATTATTTTAATTATGCATATCTTTAACAAAAATTTTATCAAATTTGATTACTGCATACTTACCTTCTTGACGATGTCTTCCCAAAATTTTTTACGATGTTCTAAGGTTTCTTTTGCATAATCTTCATTGATAAAAATTCCAGTGCCCTTAAGTTTTTTCACAGATGTTAAAATTTTGCATTTATCATTATAATTTAGGAGTTTAAGGACTATAGTTCTTGGTAGCTTTTCTTTAACTCTTCCTATTCGATGGGCTCGCTCAACCACTATATCATCGGCAATTCCAAGCTGGTTTTTAAAGATCTTTCCAACTGCTCTTGCACAGTCATCCCACGTTTCAGACGATAGTTCTGCAACACCATCAACTCTTAAATTATTGCGGCGAGATCTATTTTCTAGATCTATATATTTTTTTCAAAGTATTTATTTCTTCATTGATCTTTAAATTTAGTTGAGACAGCATTTCCTTGATGTTTTCCTCTTGGAAATTAATACTATCTTTAATGTCGCTAGTATCTTTTTCAACTCGGGATTTATTAAAACTAAGTTCTTTTTCAAGTTTATCTAGTCTGTCTGATATTATTTTTATGTTGGAACTCATTATTTTTGTAAAAGTTTCTTCTTGTTTTTTTAATAGTTTTTCAGTTTCTTTTAAAATGTTTTGCTTCTGATCTTCAAGCTTAGATATTAGTTTCTCAATATTTTTCATTGATAGATCCATCTTCGCACAATTAAAAACAATAACGACTCACTCAATAATCACCTTTCAAATCCGGAAAACAACTTTAAAAGCAACTTTCACTTATACGAATTTAGCTATATACTTACAATCTGTTGCTGTTATGGTAACATCAATAGTCACAAAGTTGCAATTTGCAGCCTTTGACTAACTACAGATTTGTCATTATGTTGTAGCTAGTTACCATGCTGCAATATGTAGCCAATAATATTTTGTAGTAATATTGATAACTAGGAAGCTCCGATATTAAAAGAGCGACATGTCGTAAAGAGACATGTTGTAAACATAGTTGGGCCTGTTTTTCCAACCAACCTTCAACCATTATCACATCGCCGTAATGTTGCTTCTCTTTCTCTTTTCTGCAAATATTATAATGGGCCCTACTCTAAAGAGCTAACGTCTCTTGTGCCATCTACAAAAATTTATTTTCGTGTTACTCGTAATTCAATGAAGTCTTATCCTTTTTCTGGGACTGTTCCTAAGTGCTCCAAAAACTCTTATTCCTCTAGTTTTATTCCTCGAACATCAGTTCTTTGGAAATCACTTCCTTCATCTTGCTTTCCTAATTCATATAATTTGCAATCTTCTAAGCCGTTTGTCAATTATTATCTTGCTCTACAATCTTTATCTTTTCTCTTACAGTAACGTCCAACTCTAATTAGCGGTTGTTTGCAGTCTTGTTGGAAGCGAAGATGTTTATTTTATTGTTGTTGAAAAACTCATTTGAGAAATCAGACGAATAATAAATAAAACACAAATAATTTATTTACAAAAAACTATAAAGATTTAAATTGAATTTAAAAAATATCATTAAAAGTCATTGATATATTCAGGTAAACACCAACTTGGGCATCTTCCATATTATAAATCGTTATGTAATGCTTTGTAGTATGTTGAACAGCACGTTCACAATCATTTCCTATTATTCTATTTTTTGCCTCAGTACCAATTCTTTCCAAATCATCCAGCACCAAATACAAATGGAATGCAAATCGAATTTCAACGTTAATTTTAAACCAGATTGTTTCCACCGGTTTTAACGTTGGACTGTACAACTGAGATAGAAACGTTACAACTTAGCTGGAGAATTCGCGCGCTGTTTATATAAAACGTGTGCTGTTTGTCTCACACAGTTTGGTAAAGTCATCTAAAATTTTACTTTACCAAGCTGTGTGAGAATTTTAAAACTCAAAAGGTTACTCCTGAAATCGAAACAAAGATTAAAATGTCTGGAACCATTAAAGTTTAGAGCTAACCAACTAAAATCAAAATGAAACACTGGGGAATTGGATAGAGAAGTCCTTAATAAAATTGTTTTATAGCTTTTTTTATTTCTTCGTATTATTTACTAAATAATTCTGTTTTATCAACATAGACACATTTTTCTAACTAAAAATAAGCTCAGTGTTCGGAATAAGCATTCTTAGTAGGAAGATATAATAGCACACGTCTTATCTATACAGCCCGTAATTTTAGCCCGTAATTGTTTACACAATTTAATAATATCGCGGATTTTTAACGGTTTTTGTCGAAAATTTATCAACATTTTTATGATTTAAAAAACCTAATTTTTAAACAACAATTTTTTTTACTTTGTCCTACCCCCTAGAATTTCTTTATACCATAAATGGTGTTTACTAATGCATATCTATTGGAAAAGAAAAATAAGACCTGGGGAACAACTTTTCTTACTCAACAATCATTCTCACTCTGTTTGATAGTGAGAAAGAGCTGTTTGTTTTTTAAAACCAGGAAATATTTTTTTTGATTTAAAGCGTGCAAATATTGTCCGTTCTTCAAATATTTAAACTTTTAATGAAAATAATTTAAACTTTTAATGAAATGCAAAAACATTATAATTGTTGAAAGTTGAAACCCCAGTTGTTGTTGAAACCCCTGTTGAGGTTGTAAGAATAAAGTTGAACTCAGAAAGAATAAAGTTGAACTCAAATCAAAAGATAAATATTGTTTTTAAAAAAGTCACCAATAAATCATAATCACCAATAAATCATAATCAAGCTCGTATGAATTAATTTATAACAAACAGTTAAATCAAGAGAAAAAATTTACAAAAAGATAAACAGAATTTCGAACTAAAAAAAAAAAGAACTTTTACGTAAAACAATAAAATAACAAAAAAAAAAAAAAAAAAAAAAAAAAAAAAGTTAACAAATAAAAAGAAACAAAAAAAGGAAAAATAAAGAAATTTACACGAAGAATAAGAAGATTGAGAATAAGAAGATTGAGAATAAGAAGATTGAGAATGAGAAGATTGAGAATAAGAAGATTGAGAATAAGAAGATTGAGAATAAGAAGATTGAGAATAAGAAGATTGAGAATAAGAAGATTGAGAATAAGAAGATTGAGAATGAGAAGATTGAGAATAAGAAGATTGAGAATAAGAAGATTGAGAATAAGAAGATTGAGAATAAGAAGATTGAGAATAAGAAGATTGTTTTATTCTTATTTTTTAACGATTTAATTATAATATTTAAATTTGTAACGATTTAATTTTATTTTGTAGAAGTATTTGGGTTTGCCTTTTCTTTTTGCATTTTTTGGGTTTCATCTTGTAGTTTTTGTATTTTGCCTTTTCGTTTGTGTAAGGTTTGTTTTTTATTTGTTCTGTTTTGCTAATTATTTTTATTTTTGTTTGCTGTTGTTATTGAGTGTTTTCATATTTTTTGTCTTATTATTTAACTTATTTTAGCTTTATCGTTGTTATTAATATTTTATTTATTTTCTTAGCGATTTTCGGTTTATATTTGTTATTTTTATTATTATTTTATTATTATACTACTTATAATTAATTGGTGTAACTCATTTTGATCATGAGTGACACTCATATCATCATATTATTTATATTATTATAGATAATATTATTATTTTTAATTATTATTGTTATAATTATTTGGTGTCACTCCTTTGATCAGGCTTCTGTTTAAGTGACACCTTCCTTTTCTAATACTTATTTTTATTTATTCTTATTAGTTATATTTTATTATTACTATATTGTTTGTATCATTATAGATAATTTTACTATTTTTTAATTATTATTGTCATAATTATTTGGTGTCACTCTTTTGATCAGGCTTCTGTTTGAGTGACACCTTCCTTTTCAAATAATTATTTATATTTATTCTTATTAGTTATATTTTATTATAATTATATTGTTTGTATTATTATAGATAGTATTAATATTATTATTGTTATTACATGACTATATGTAAATTTTGAAAAGGAAAATAAATATCTTGTTGTTGTTGTTGTTGTTGTTGTTGAGGTTGAGTGTAATTTAATCAAAAAATATTTATACCCCATAATTTTAATTACATTTAAATATAGCGTAAATTAAAAAGCTGAAAAGTGTTGCATACTATGTATTTCAAAAAAAAGTGACTAATGTTTATAAACTACATTTTCGTTTTATTGCTTCTTTAAACTAACATTAAAAATTATTTACATAAATAATTTACATAAATATATCATACACTTAAAGTTAAAATCATCTATTTATTTTAAACCTAAGGCTAAAAATTATTTACCAAGTATAAACACAATTGTTAAATAATTTAGCTAAAAATTATTTTCATGATGCAAACGTTACAAGCACTTGTTGGCTAATTTAAGCAAAAATTGTTATTAATTTAACATAAAGTAACAAACTTAATGCGTAACCATGAAACTCTTTTTGCCACGTATTCTGAAAATCTTTCCCAACAGGTCTTCTTCGGACGACGCTTTATTTCTTCTCTGAACTCGGCAATTTGTTCAAGAGATACACCTAGATCGTTCAAGTTTACATATTTAAAGTTTATTCCGTATAACTTTGAAAACCTATTTCTTAATTTCAATCTCTGTTCGGCGTGCTTATAAAGAAGTTGATCAGTTTTTATCTGCAACCTATCAATCATATTTTGAAACTCAGTTAAATATTCTTGGGAAAGGTTTGTCATTTTTTGAAAGTATTCGAGTTTTTTATCTAAATATAAATAAAAAGAATTATGGGTAAAATCACTATAATAAACATATGTAATATATGTTATGTTGTAGAAGAGTGACAATTTTTTTTGCAAAAAAAAAAAAAAAAAAAAAAAAAAAAATTAACACTGCATCTAATTCTTTTTTACACCCCCTGAGTGATATAAAAACTGTTTTGTTTTTTTACACCCCCTGAGTGATATTAAAACTGTTTTGTTTTTGTTTTAAGGACTAGTATTAGTGTTAGATGTAAAAATCAGATGACTTCATAATTAACCAAAATTTCAAAATTTTCTTCGCTTATCGTCAATATTTTTTTACTTTTTCAAAATGTATCATTTGGAAAAGAAAAAATGTAATTAAAAGTTTAGTTTTTTATTCATTATGTTATATAACATTATTTATGTTATAGCCAACATATAGACACAAAGATGCAATCTAGTATTGAAAAAAAGGCGAAAAATGTTAGACATCTGAATGTCAGTTGTAGGAGGCCCCTTTACCTTCTTAATTCTCCTATTTCTTTTTTACCTCTGAACCAGCTGTCAACTAATAGGTTACTTCTAAGACATTATCAATATTTAATCAGCAGTAGATCAAAACGATTCAGAAGTATTTACGATAATTTTTCTTGTCCTATGGGATCAAATTTTAACATGAAATGCAAAGGAAAAACAAGTATATTTCAATGTCTTGATAATTTCAGGTTTATTATGACACTCCCATTCAAATTTTGGCACGGTTAGATTTTTTTAGTTTTTTTGAGTCATATATTAACTGTTTTATTGATGTCTAATAAAAGCAACCGAAATTTTGAAATCCAGTGACTATTTGCATGCTTGTAAAAACTTCACAAGAGCTAAAAACATTTGTTTTAAAACTGTTGAAGAAATATGCGCTAAAATCTTTTGATATGACAATAATAACCAGAATCTAGTGGCTGCAGAAAGTATGACGAAAGGGCTGATATTGCACATTCGTCGCACCTATAAATTAGGCACTGTTTAGATGCAAATAAGTATGACCCAATATGTAACATGTGTCAAATGACTATCCATGGTTAAAATATTAATACCTCAGTCAATAACAATAATTAGATTGAATAAAAATCCACAAATGAAATTAAATGTTTTCGTTAATATACGTATCGTTAAACTCGCTGTAAAAGGTGATTAAATACTTTGCTACTGTTATTTGCATACACAAAGCTACTCTGATTGATAAAATATTTTTATGGGCTCTGATGCTCAACTTTTTACTCTACCAGTTTATGGAAAGTTTCTATCAATCTCTCTCTGGTGTATCGTAGAAAGTCAGATGAGATTGATCTTGGTGTTATAAATAGTCCGTATCTAACCCTAATCAAAATAATGCGATGATTATATCAACCTGATTAATTTATGTTACGATCAGAGGCGTTCTGAGGGAGGAGGGGGAAGGCGCTTAGGGGGTGTCTAGCCCCTCTACGAAATTTATTAGTCGGCAAACTGGACACTGGACACTCAACAAAATTAAAGTTTGGTTGGTTTATTTTAAGTCATTGCTTCGAATACGATTGGTTGATTTGGAAAGTTTTATTTGTATAAATTTAAAAAGAATTGCAACTATAACTTGTGGGTTTAGCATTGTGGTATCTCAATTGTTTATAACTCACGGAGTTCCGGGATTGAGTCCTACATTCTGAAAAATGTTTTAAAATGTTTTTTAACAATTTTTTTATTGAAATTTATTATTATTGTTGTATATTGAAAGTTACATTTATGTTTATTATTTACAAACATCAACTGATATAAGGATAGGCACAGTAAGTGTACATACATCTACTGATTTAGGAATAGACGCAGTGAGTGTGCATACATCCACTGATTTAGGGATAGGCACAATGAGTGTACATACATAAATTAAGGGTTTTGGTTTGGGCATGCATTCTTTATATAACAGAAAAAAAAACAAAAACCAATCAGAAATAACTACCGTGACTTTAAGAAAAAATTTAAAGCGACAGTACCCTTGCGATTTCAAATTTGCACTTCAAATGGTAGCCCCTTCAACAAGAAATAACGAAACTATGAAATCATTTATCTATAAAATTACATAGATGCATCTTTACTTTAGAAATAAATAAAAATATTATAAATAAATACTTTAGAAATAAATAAAAAATATTTTTATCTTTTTAAAAATATTTTATTAACAGGTGTTCCATGAAAATCCATGACGGTTATAAATCTAAATATTATTATACACTTTATGCATTATTATATACTCTCAAAGTCTTTAAGCAAATTAAATAGAAATGTACTTATATAGAGTATTTTTAATTCAAGACTTGGATGGATCTTTTATAAATTTCTTGTTAACTTTCATGAGGCAGGAACTTGTTGTTATATAAAGTTGTTTCAGATTTCTTACCTACCAGTTTTTTTCATAATCATTTTTTTAGCATACTCAAAAAATCCTCAATTTTATAACATTCTGGTATGTTTGGCGGTTATCAACTTTAGCCAAATATTTTTCGGAATTCTTTCAAATAATGACATCACTGATTTGGCATTATGTGGAAACCAGGTCAGGCCAAAATTATTATTGGTCATTATTATGATATTTTTAAATAAAAGTCACCAACTGCTTCTTGATGAAATATTTTAAGTAAAGATTTTGATTAACTGCAAGACTAAAAAAAGTAAAATAATCTTTAAAATCTGAATATTTTATGGAATTTCCCTGAAATTTTTGTTCTTATTTTAAATTTCAAATTTAATAAAGAGGACATAATTTGATTACACATATAGCGCATCAAAACAGAAAATTACACTTTATGAAAATCTCTTCTGTCAAACCCTAAAGTTATCTACCTAACCCTTAAATCTGTTTTAACAAAGTGTATTAGATGCAGAATACTGTTATATATTGTTAACAATTAATATATTTGTAATAATTACTATTCTAATAATTACTATACTAATCTAAATTAATATTCTCAAATTTTCAATTTCTTGGGTAACCTTGTACTCAATGCTTTTAATTAACATTCTGGAAAATAAATTTTCATGAAATATTTTTTTTTATTTACCAGACTTATTTAATAATTATTTAGTAATTAAATAAAATTAAAAGCTTTGAAAATTAAAAAAAAATAATACAAGGAGGCCTGATTCAGCAGTTCAAGGTATAAAAAAGTATAAAAAATATTGATATCAAACATGAATTAACTCTCTTTGGTCTTTGTTGAGAAACAAAACAAATAAAATTAAACCTGAATTGGTCAGGAAAGGTATGAAAAGACAAAATATTTTCACAATAGGGTCGTTGATGGGTGGAATCACTTACCAGGAGAAGTCATTTAGACTATAACAGTTAACAGCTACAAATCAAACTAGCATTTTTAATTATTAAACAAATGAATTATTAAACAAATAAATATTTTTTTAACTATTGAGGAAACGCCTAATTTTCACAACTATTTTATTTAATAACAAAACAGTATGTATTTTAGTTTTCCAAACCTTTGTAACTTGTTTTTATTAATAGTCTGCTCACTAGTCAAAATAAAAGCTCAATGTTTTAACTGAAAATGTTTCCACTAACCCCCCTCAGTCTTGCCAACTTATTCTTATATAATAGGCGCAGTAATAATCAGATTTAATTGCATTAATCTTGCAATAAAAAAAAGTTAAAAAACTTTGTAAAAAAAAAAGAAATGTTAGTAAACTTGATCACCTTTTTTTTGAAAATTAAATGTTTAGCATAAGTTAGATTTTAGTCTCAATCTCATTTTCAACCAATATTGAAAATGAGATTGACAATATCGATATGATGTACTATAGTAGGAATTGGATACTTTTTTCATCTTTACAAATCGATTAAATATAATAACATTAATCGATTAAATACAATAACTTTTATCTAAAGTACCTAAATCAGTTGCAACTTGAACTTTCTTAGTTCTTTTGATTCTAAAAACTTCGAATATACCACCAGCTATCAAAAGAATCATTAGAGTAATTGTCATACCATATAACATACTCTGAAAGATTGGCGATTGAATGCTGAAAAGTTGAACTTTCTTATTAGCCAAAGTCAAATGACTAGTATTATTTTGTTTCATAGCATCCTATAAAAAAGTTTTTTTAAAAAGTCACAAATCTACTACATTAATTGATATAAATACAATGCACAAATGCATTGAAAGAAATGTTTGAATGCAACACTGCATTATTTCATACAAATATTTATACATTTAACTAACTTTTGAGTTTATAGTGAGTTAATTATAATTATAATTTGTTAAGTATTAGAATGCTTCTAAAATAAACTAAAAATATTAACTGAAGAAATTGTTTACTCAGAAAATTAACCAACATTTTGCTAAAAATGTTGGTTTAATTTTCTTACATTGCATACCTAATAAACTTTATTAATTTAAAATGAAAATAATTTATTCTAGTAAAATAATTAATGCATAAATAAAAAATTGAAATTTTTTATCAAGTATACATTTTTGAATTAGGTTGAATAGAATTAGACGCAATAATGAACTTAATGAGTGCATTACTTGTGGTTTGTTATGTTTGTGAGAATTATTTCAAGCTTGAACGATATCTTTTTCATATCTTCCTTTAGCATTGTCATTTTTATCTTTAGCATTGTCATTTTTATCTTTTGTACTATAATAAGCATAGTTGGATGATTCATTTGAATTTTAAAAGCAATGAGGAGTACAGCAACACAGGTGTGAAATGTGACAAGGATATACCCAATTTGCAATTTTGACGTCAAATGACCAGGTGTTTTGTTTTCATACTGCACCTGGTAGTCATGCTGGTCACATTATAGCTAAACAGTATGTGTTTAACTCTATCACTAATTTGAGCTCAATGGGCTGCTCGACATTCAAAATTAACATACCATTTTTTAGCAAATTTTGTTAACATATTAGACCAAAATTCATTGTCTATTAGAAGACAATCTGGCGACCCAAATAAAAAGAACATTTCTTCAAGCTTTAAACAACTTCAGTTATACATTCAGTTTTCACACAATGTTCTTCCATCAAAACTGTGTTTAGCCATCCCATGGTGATCTTCCTCTCACTGTATACTGTTAATTATTCTATGTCCCACATACTTGTTTAACCCTTAATGTATCAAATTCAGTTCACTTATAGTGTGATCTTCCTCTCACTGTATACTGTTAATTATTCTATGTCCCACATACTTGTTTAACCCTTAATGTATCAAATTCAGTTCACTTATAGTGTATCACTTGCTTACCATAGCCATGCTGCATCTTCAACAAATACTTCTACAAAGAGCAAAACTACACCAAGTCTTATGGATGATGCATCATAATAAAGCTCAGCTTTTTCATTTACTGTTATCAGCCATTTCCCACCAACCAGGCCCTCTGTTTCCACAAGATGAAACAACTCTTTGAGTTTTTCTTTACAATTTTCAGTAATAAAATCACCCCAATGAATATTTCCAGTTAAACATTTAATGTATGAAGCTTGTAAATGCAAACTTTCTGCCAACGGGTAGCGTCCAATGAGTTTGCCAATTCACCTTTGACTTTGCAGAGTTCCTCTCATAGTTGTGATGAGCTTTTGACATTTTAAAACAAAGCCATGTGTGAATTCAGCATGAATCACTGTGATGGAGCATCCAGAATCAGTTAATACTGTTTGGAGCATTCCTTTTATCTTCACTTTTTTTTTTATATAATTATTTTAGGTGCTCCCAGAAGTCCTTACGGTCTTATCATAGAGCACCGCAGGAGAGCATTTAACAGGAATTTCACTCCTCCTTCCTTACCAATGTCACTTGTTGGGCTAGAGCTGGCGTCGAACCTTGCACCTCTGGGTTCTGAGCCAGAACTCTAACCACTGCGCCACGGCTGCTCTAACCACTGCGCCACGGTTGCTCTAACCACTGCGCCACGGCTACTTTTAATGATGGTAACCTCATTACCGGAAGAAAATTGGGTGCCAATATTTCCAAACGTCACTTATCTTTTTAAACTTTACAATCATTTAAAGCAGTCTTTAGCTTGATGATCATGTAAAAAAGTTTTGCACTTTGTTTTGCAGTCCTTTGTCTAATTTTCCACAATTGAAACATGTAACTTTGCTTGCATTGAACACACTAGTTGTCTGGGAAAATAACAATATTGCCGCAATGACTACATTATCTGAGCCATCTAGTGTTGTGTTTCCTGTTAACCTCCACAGCCTTTGTGAACATAAGTTCTTCAGATTCCAGTGGTAACCATTTGATTATAATAGCATTGTTAAAACCCATGATAAATTGGTCGCTTATGCGGTTTCTTATCTACTTTAATGATTTTCCTGACAATCATCTAATCTGATGTGTACTTGCTGACAACTCAAGTTTTTCCGCTTGCAGTGGCTTGTGAATTTGAACTCAAACAAAACTCAGCAATTTACAACAAACACCTATAAGAATTTTGTTGACATTCCTATATTGAAGAATGACAATTTTTGCTTACTATCTTGCTATCATTTTTGGTTTTAATATCATTTTAACTAAAATTTTGACTGATTGAAACATTAGTAAAACATATGCTTTGTAAATTTAAGTTAAGGGTAAGCAAAAAATATTTAAATACTTTTAAATTTCTTTATTTTTTAGGTTTTAAAAGGAGGTTGATATAATTCTAAAGAAGATTTATAAGCATAATTTTTTTCCAATTTTATATCAAAAAAGTTTTATTTATCAATCAGTATTTCAATTACATGGACAGTACATTTATCAGTAAGTTTTATTATTTTATAACTGTAAGTTGCAAATGTAACTTAAAATGCCTAATAAAGATACATATTGTGGATAACATTAAAAGTTATTTCCTTCAATGCAAAATTTACAAATTTCATCTTTTAGGTGGCCATTAACTTTATCTGTTGGAGCTAAGGACAATAAATCTTCTAAAAAATCTTTCCATCGGATCATTCTAAACAGTGATTAAATTAACTTCTACTAAATTTAACAAATAATTAAGTTGAAAAATTAATAAAAAGACTATGTGAGAATTCGGATGATAAGTTAGGATGATTATCTACTGTTGTTAAAAATAATATAATTAGCATGATGATATCATTACAATAAAATTGAATCTGAATAGAAAATAACAAAACTACTTTATTTGGAATGATGAAACTGTCTTTGATAAAACTAATAAAAATGAAATACACATGATATATAATGACATAGCAGGTAAATTCAAAGACGCAGTGGAGTTAAGAAGTGTTTGATATATTGATGCATTGACAATGGAGTTAAAAAGTGTTTTATTCTTGCTAATGTTAAAGTTGTATTTAAAGAAAATAAAAATTTGCAGAAAATCCTGAGTAGATTAAATGTAGATGATGTTACATATCACCTTGCACTTGATTTAAAATGTGATTTATTTATTTTGATAAAAGTTTTTTTTTTCTTTTTTGACGTTTTCACTTCCAAAAAGGCTGAAGCAACCACTATTTGAGTTAGAAGTTACTGGAAGAGAAAAGATGAAATTTATAAAGCATAATAACTATTTACAGACAACTTGAAAGGTTGCAAATTGAATGAATCAGGATCATTGAAAAAAGGGAGTGAATTCCAAAGAACTGGTGTTCAAGAAAAAAAACTAGACAGGTAAGAATTTTTAGAGTTCTTAGGAAAAGTCACAGTAAAAGGATGAGACCTATTTAAATGATGAGTAATACGAGAGTGAATTTTAGTATATAGCACAAGAGACCTTTATCTGAGTTGAAATTCACAAGCCACTGGGAGCTCCATGCTGTAGCAGAAGTGAGATCCTTTTTTTTAAGACCTCAAGCTGTGTAAGAGTCTAAACAAGAAATCACTTAGGAGACAGAAGGTGGAGTGATAAGAATGTCAAGTGATGGATCAACATGTTTGTTGGGTATACCAGGTAGGATGTGATTAGTGGAATCTTGAAATTAAATTGATGAAAAGTTTTTTAGCAAATAATTCAGCTTTGTCTTTAGGTGAGGTAACCAAAATCTGAACCATGCAAGAGAGGAGCCTATTTTTTTATAGATAAAATGCAAGATTTAGTGACCTGTGAATAGATAGCTCTGGCATTAAACATAACCTTTTTACAATGGTTTTGAACAATAGTAAAAAGACGTCTGTTTTCTTGAAAATTGATTTGGCGATAAATATGGAAGTAATGGTTATGATTGGAAAGTGCAGCAGCAGAATGAGAGGAAAATGATGGAAAAGAGTGAGGCTTGACTTGGAATCTTCAAAAGGGAATAAAATATTCCATGCCAACTTGAATCCAAGAAGTTACATAAACAGCGCATTTGTCAGCAGAAAGACAAAAGATTTCTACCCAAGGGCCATTGCAAAGAAAATCACAGAAAGAGTCCCAGTCAGCTTTAAGGTAGTTGTAAGAGGTACAATGCTAGGGTATTCCAATAATATCATCTGTTAATCACTTTCTTGATTTATAAACTTCATATTTTCTCTTTTAGTAAATTCCAACTCTTATAGTGGTTGCTTACAGCCTTGTTTAAAGTGAAGATGTTAAAAAAAAAGAAGCATGGAATAATATTTTGAAAGAGATCAAGCTGTGATCAGAAGCACTTAAGAGTGAATGCAACAATAACAGCAAGATATTTATTTTTGTCAAAATTTACAATCATATAATTACAATAATATAATGATAATAATAATAATAAAAATAATAATAGTATCATAATATTATAAATAATAAAATCATATCATTATTAAGAACAAACATAAATAATTGATTAACAAAGAAGGAGTCACTTATACAGAAACCTGATCAAAGGAGTGAAACCAAATAATTATATTAATAATATTAATTTTAAAAATAATGATAATAACAATAATTCATTAATAGAGTAACAGCAATAGTATTTATAATAACTGTAATAATAATAGTAATAATAAAAATAACAGTAAAAAAATAATAAATAATAATGACAAAAATAATTAAGTTTCTATAAAAATAGTAAGAAGAAATATTAAAATAAGAAAACTAAAAGAAGTTAATAATGATAAAAAATTAAAATAATTTTTTTTTTAGAATTTGTTTACATTTATTTTGTTTTATGTAAAGAAAACATTTAGTTTTATTATTGATGTTTCTAGTTAAATGAAAATGTATAAATCAAGTTTCCGTAAAAAAAAAAATTTAATAGAGGAAGATAAATTTTTATTAAGGGAGTCAAAAACAAAAAGATAAGGGATTCAAAACAAAAAGCAAAAAAAATGTGGAGAAAGTAAGCATTGATATCAGAACACTGAATCAAAAACAAGACATAAACTGAGTGAGAGGGATTTGGATTGTCTGGAAAACAAGTTGGAAAGTTGACTATTTGTGTTAGAGATTGAGAATACAAAAATCTTGGGCCTGCAGAGTAAAGACTTGCAGAGTCACTGACTCTAGAACTAAGCCATTTAGTGTGGTGAGCATTAAAGTCACCAAAAACAACGATATTGGTTGAAGGAAAAAGAGAAAGGGCTCATATAATTCAATTAGAAATAAAATTATCAGGAGTGCAGTCTTGAGATGAAGTAGAGCGATATAGAACA